CCCCAAAACCCCAAAACCCCTTAAAATGATATCTAAAATAAATATTCAAAATAGAAAATCAAAAATCAATTAGACTTAAGTAATAATAAAGCAATCAATTTTAACTAATCTAATAAACTTCGATTTCAATAACTCTAAAGCTTTAGCTACCTGCTAAATAAGTAGTGGTGGAATGGCCACCATCAGGTACTTTATAATCACTTCCTAAGTTTGATGAACTTGAAGTGCTGACATTGCAATCACTGGCAATGAATAAATCATGATTACTTCCGAAAGTCATCATATAACTTGGATAGTTATATGTTGCATACTAGTGATTTTAATAGAGAGGACATATAGATCTCTTATTCAAGTTAAACAAGAAGTTTCTTAGCAATTCAAATTACTATAGAATATTATATTAAGCTCTAATAGTCTGTTTAGTAACTTCCAATATGCTAATTCCACTCTGTGCCTGTATAACCTCCAAACGTTTACCCATGCTCACTTAGAATAAATGAAATAGTTTACGCTTTACCATCACAAAGCTGATGAAACTTATTTGCCTTATATTCATCTCTGGAACCTTTAAATAGCAAAACTAACTAGATGGATCCTAAGCCAAGTCTTGAAAAAAGAAAACTCTAATTTTTCTACAAGAGCTCTTGATCTACTAATCCTCTGTATTCTAAGTATTTTTAATGATCAGCTTACTAAATAACTGGCGGTATTTATTTAGCTAATTCTTATCTTTTAAGTTCTTCTTAAAGTTTTACATAGTTTTCACTCTCAGCAAACGAATCTCTAATAAAATTAATAAAAAGAAATTACGAAAAATTAGATATCATGCCATAAAGATTTGTCATTTTCTCTATTCTTTCTTTAATTTCATCACTGATTTCTGAATACTTTAGAATTTATAGATTCTGTTTAAATAGACTTGTAATTTAGAGTGAAGTGAAGCTTCTTTCATTATTGAGATACTGCTGATATTCATCAATAATTTTTTCTATTCTGAGTATTTCTTGTTTTAGAATTGGAATCATTTTTTCCATTGACTCTCTGATGTATTCCTTTTTAATATCTAAATGAATGCTATCTTTCTCAAGATGACCTCTATGTGGATCTTAGATCAGGCAGCTGTTACAAACCATTTGATCCTCTTCTATGCAAATCTTTTTAGCTTACTCGGATTAATGCTCATGACAGTAAATGTTATAGAAATCAAATTCTTTGAGATGTCTGATCAGGAACATAGATTCGACTACGTTCATATTCTTTGTAAACAAGTGTTTATCATCAAAAGGGCAATTAGACACTTCTGTTTGCACCTGACTTATTTCGAAGTTAAAGCAGACTGAGCAAATCACATCACCACAAGGCAAGTTTAGAGGTTTTCTCTCTCCTGTATTGAAAAATCTGTTGCACTTTCCACATATTAGCATGGATGAGATATTATTCATTAGTATAATATTTAATTAGATTATACGAGAATCCTTAATAATTTACTTGTAAATATCCTAATATTTTCAAATCTTGAGCGAAAGGGGTTTTGGGGTTTTGGGG